ACTGTGTCACATAGCTGCCCCTAGGAAATAATAATAACAATAATAACAACTACAACAAGTGACATTTCTGTAGCACTTTAAAGTTTACAAAGCACTTTAAATACATTATCTTACGAGGACCTTACAACAACCCTGTGAAGTAGATAACATACATATTTTGTTTCCATATGCAGAGAGCAGCTTTTCTGTGAAATAGGAAAATGGCTGATCTACATTACTGAAGCCTGAAATAATTTAAACTGCAGAGAGGCTGTGGAAGCTGGGTTCTTCTCCATTGAGGGTCCTGGTTGAGAACTTCTGAGGTACAAGAGTGGCATCTACTCCTCTCAGTCCTGGTAGAAGTCATCATTATTGCATTTAGAATAGCACTCCAAGGCAATGGCCAGCCCAGGCTGAGGAGTGTCAATAGAGACCTTTTGGGTTATGTCATTCAGGGCCAAAGTCTGAAGGTTCCTAATTGCCATTGCTGTGACTACAATGCTCTTTAATATTTTATTCTTTTTAAAAATGCATACCACAGATCTAGAAAAAATCTATAAAGGTAACTGGAAAAGTGACAGAGGGTATTATGTAAGGAATTAATCTTTTTAAAAAAAAATGGAACTCTGCTCAAATGGAAAGAATTGAGAAGCCCACAAAGTTCACATATAAATGTGAAAAATCGGTAGGCCAAAATGCGTTTTAGGAGCATCTTGAAAGGGATTATATGATCAATAATAAAAGTTTCTTCCAATATATCAGAGACAAGAAGTTAGCTGGAAAGTCAGAGAACACTTGATTCAATTCAGTTCAACTACTGATGAACAAAAGGCATGAAAAGAGTGAAAAGTTGACAGCAAAAACACTCAACAAATTCTCTTTGCATCAGTTTTACTGAGAGGTTTAGGAGACTCTCACTCCCAAACTATTTTTTAAATTGGAAAAAATCAAACACTGGTAAGCAGACAGGATGTTCTAAACATAATTGACAAAGTGGAAGTAAATAAATCACTGAGACTCAATGGCAATCACCCAAGGGTTCCAAAGGAACTCAAGGCTGAAACTGTAGAAATGTTCGCCAATATCTGTGACCTGTCTTCATAAACTGTGTCTAGAACTGGTAGACTGCCAACACAACTCCCATTCATAACAGGGTCATTCAGAGAAAAATAATCCAAACTATGTTTATCAAATAATGGGTGTTGAAAGCTATCTATGATGAACTGGACAAGAATTCTGGAAGCACTTGACTATTTCTTAAACACAACAACTCAACTCACTGCACTGTGACCAATAAGGCCAACTACCTACAGGTTCATATGTCCAAGTGTTTATCCTAAGTCCTGTCCTCTTGGGGACCAGTTTTCTGTGCTTTATAATTTGAATCAAAAATGACTTATTAAGGACCTTTACTGTACATAGTGCTAAGATACAAAAATAAAATTAGAATCACATGAAATAAGAGTTCACTCAAGAAGTTTAAAATGATAACAGATCATACAAGGCAAGACATGAGAATAATGCAAAGTACCTCATGATACTGAGGAAGAGAGGGCAGACTGAGAAGTAAAAGTACAAGCAGAGGCAGAGGGACAGAACAAGGAGAGGGGAGGAAAGGGTGGTCAGGGAAGATGCATAGAGAAGGTAGGAATTAAGTTGGGTCTGAAGCATGGATAACAACTGGATAGGCAGAGGTAAAGAGGAAGGACACTTCAAGCCAAGAGGAATGAGGAATAATGGACAAAGATGGGCATATGACTGAAATCAGTGAATACATCAAGTCTACCTGGGGCAACAGATTTGTGCGATGATGTATAGAATGGATAAATATATCTATCTGTTCATTCTAAAAGACTATACTATGATGGCCCCAAGAAGAGAAAAACAGAAAGCCTCTGCCCACATCCTATTAGAAGAAAACATCATCACACATACTATATATACGAAGTAATTGAGAGATGGGAGAGCACTACAGCTGGAGAAACCAGGATAGGAATCATGGAGGAGACAACCCTTAAGTTGGGGCTTGAAAGAAGCAAGTTATTCCTAGAGGCTGAAGAGAGAAAGGAGTGCATTTACAGGTATGGGGGACAGCCTGTGCAAAAGAAAAGAGGACAGAAAAGTGAATTCCAAGGTCAAAGAATAGTAACTAGGCTACTTTGGAAGGTAGAATGCATAAAGAGGATATAGAAGAGCAATGTGAAATAAGCCTGGAAAGGGAAGTCCGTGTCAACCTGTGCAGAGGCTTACATGTCCAGCAGAAGAGTGTATATTTTATCTTACAGGCAGAAGGGAGCCACTAGAACTTCTTGAGCAGGGTCAGTATAGGCTTCCATAACTTTTCTGCGTGGGGCAGCTGGGTGGCACTGTGGGTAAAGAGCCTGGAGTCAGGAAGACTTGAACTCAAATTCAGCCTCGGATATATGCTCGCTGTGTAACCCTGGGCAAGTCACTTAACTTCTGTCTGCTTCAGTTTCCTCCTTTGTAAAATGGGTATGATAATAGCACCCACCTCCTGGGGTTGTTGTGAGGATCAAATAAGATAACAATTATAAAGAACATAGCACAGTGCCTGACACACAATGGGCACTCTATCAATATTAGCTACTACAATTAATATTTTGTTCTTGTTCAGTTGTTTCAGTTATATCTAACTCTTCATAACCACATTTGGGTTTTCTAGAGAAGAATTCTAGAATGGTTTGCCATTTCCTTCTCCAGCTCATTTTACAGATGAGGAAACGCAGGCAAACAAGTTTAAGTGACTTGCCCAGGGCCATACAGCTGTTAAGTATTTGAGGCTGCATTTGAATTCAGGTCTTCTTGACTCCAGGCCCAGTGCTCTATTCAGTGCACCACCTTACTGCTCCATTATTATTATTACCACTAAGTAAAAACACTTCCTTTTATTTGGCATGAAACCAGTGTGAATACAGACAGGAAGGAAAAAAAGCATTGGGTTTCCAGTTTTGCTTGAGCACAGAATAGGTGAAGGGGCATAAGATAAGGATGCAAAGGTAAGGTAGGCCTGGATGGCAGTAGGCCTGGAATTTCAGGAAAAAAGATCTTAAGAACTTTTTTGAGTAGGTAACAAGGAAACCTCTGAAAGCTTTTGAGCAAAAGAAGAGCATGATCAAATATACATGTCTAAGAAAGAAAGATATGCCTGGTAAGCATGTGAATGAGGATTTGAAGGGCAGAGTGTTAAGACTTAGTAGGAAAGGCCTACTAAGAAGTAACTGCAATTGTCCAAGAGGGAAGATATGAGAAACTAAACTAGGGTGTGGATGATAGGAACAGAGAGAAGGGAACAGATAGAGGAAATGACTGCATCAATTTTTGCAATCGAGGCAGCATGATATAGTGGATAAAAAGCCAGCCAAGGTGTCAGAAGACCTGGGGGTAAGGTCTGACTCAAATTTATGAACTGTGTCCGTAAATGGACACTAATGCCCAAAATGAATTGGTACAGGATTTTCCTCCCTAGGCGGGGATCAGTGGAGAGAATGATTTCCCTATACCAAAGAAATCATACACACAGTCCAAAAAATAAACAAACAAAAAAGGTAGGCTTACAATTAAACAAGAAAGCTTTTCACTATTCTATGAATGAGTCATAGAACATAGCAGCATCACCAAGGGATAGTATCATCAATAAATTTTCATGGTTTTCATGAAATCTCCACTTAATGCTTTATATGCCACTACCACTTAGTTGCTGCCTTTGAGGAGAAATTTCTCTTTGGAGCCCTTACTAACAGAGACTTGGCCATGTAGCCTCCATATTGACAACTTGGTGTGATCCCCATCATCTTTTGAAAAATGACTTTTCTGTAGCCTTAGTTCTCTGAAGTCACTTCAGCCCCTCTCTAACGCCAAGATTACCCTCCTTGTCCCTTTCCCTTCCTCCTATCTCTCCCAGAACTAAGAGTAGCACCTGCCTTCTAAAAGATGATTTCTCTTAGAAATTATAGGAAAGAAGAGAAGTGGCAACCACTGCAAATGATGATTTGAAGGGTAGAGTAGAAACTTAGCAGGAAAGACCAACTAAAAAGTAACTGCAATAGTCCAAAAGGGGAGAAATGATAATCTGTATTAGGGCATGGATGATAGGAATAGAGAGAAGGGAATAAAAAGAGGAAACGATCACATCAATTTTTGCACTGCAAGAGAGGCAGCATAAGATGGCTCTGTGCTCTGGAGAAGTGTTTTCGTGCTCGTCTCTCCTGTCTGCTCAGAGCTGAGGATGCTACAAGCATCCCAGGAACAGCCCTTGAGGGATGTAGAGACGCCTGCCACCAGGACCAAAAGCCAAGAAGAGAACGGGAAGCAGCTCCTCCAAGGCTGAGGGGTTTGGGCCCCTATTAAATATCCCCCTCTTCTTTTGAGGCTAAAAAAAAAAAGAGAGAGAGAGAGAGGCAGCAGGGTATAGTGAGTAAAAAGCCAGTCAATGTGTCAGAAGATCTGAATTTAAGGCATGACTATAGTCGGGCCCCACTGAAAAGCTACAAGGCCATGGTTAAGAGCGAAGAGTCCCAGTAGGTCTGCCCTCCATCAAACTGACCATCTTCCATTTCTCAGCCAAGCAGTACCAAGGAGCTGCACTCTCTTCATAAGCCCATACCTCCTACCTCCATCTCCAGTTTCTGGTGCTGCCAGACAAGACACCTAAAGAAATTAAAATAGATCTAACAAATTTAATAAAGAGATACAGAATATGGGCCACAGGCTACGATAGAAACCATCCAGCCTGTCACAAGTCAGTTGAGTTTTCATGATCCCATTGGCTACAATATCACATCACTTGGGAGGTACTTTTCTCATTACTATTAGTAACAAAGTGGCTAAAGGGTGGATAAGTGTGGGAGAAACAGGAGAGGTCAGAGAATTACATAGCTAGATTTTCATTCCAGAATGCTTCAAAATTGATACCTTTCACTTGAGAACTTGGGCTTTAACCACCTACTAGAGATGAAGGAAAAGAAGCAATTCATCTTTGGTTGGAAGTTCTCAGGACTTACCATCTTGAGTGTTCTTACAAAGGATTTGGGTCTTGAGCTCCTCCAGGCTAATTTCTAGGTAATTGCAGACTTCCTCTTGGCTGTATGGTTCTGAATGGAAGACTTCTTCCACTAGCAGCAGCATTTCCTCCAGGCTTACTCCTAGTTTGACCTGCACCTCCTCCAAGCACAGAGCTTTGTTCCATTCCAGGCCTTTGTACTTAGCCAGGAACTGCAAATTCAAATCAAGACAATTTCTATTCAGAAATCAACAGGCCATGTTTTAATTAACCAAATTCAACATGAAGATGAATTTGTTTCTGCTCAATCTACTCAAGCTCCGCACCATTGCTCAGAAACATAGAGTGGGTTCAGATGCTTGGAATTTCCCATTCTTATATGACAGATGTTCAAAGACCAGAAAAATTAAGTCTTTGTCCTCCAAAAAGAACACTAATCTCTTGTTGATGTTATGCCTGTCCCTCCTTTCCCACAGGGCTACTTCCATGGACAGTTCTGCATCTTTAATCCCTAGTCAGATGATTTATCCTTACTACACCCTGCCTCTATAACATTCACAGAAAACCATTCTAATCTCATGTGATATGAGTCTGAGAGAGTCATGTCATCAATGACCTGGTTAGGAATTCTCCTGTTTACTAGATGTCACTTGGAAGGTAGTTAATGAACTTGAATATCTGGTCATCTGGATGGTATTTTAAATGAAATCTTCATTGGGGAATTCATGAAAAACCATTCTCATTCAACTGGTGGTATGGTAAAGCTGTGTTTTCCCTTCTCCTCTGAGACAGTACCCTAAATTAAGAATGTACCAAATCCTTGGGACCAGAAGGAACTTGTTGGAAGGATTTTTTAGGGACCTCCAAACGAGGGTGTGCCTCTCTCTTTCTATCCTCTCTCTGTAATCCACTGTGGTTTATCCCACTGGCCACTGAATGGTCCCTCTAAAAGGAGTTGACACTCAAAACAGGAGAGAATGCTTGAGTCCAGACAGTGCCTTTCCCCTAGTCCTTGGAACAGACACTAGGGTCAGTCAAGCTTCATTTCCTGGGTCCAAGGTATGGCAAGGGCAGAGAACAAACAGTGAGAAGAAATAAGGAAGGAGAAAGGAGAAAACTCCATAAGGAAATGTGCAATTGATTTACTCTACTGCAACACCAATTATTAGATTTTCCTTATTCTGTGAAGGAAGCAGGATGTACCAAAAGAGCTTTGTATTTTGGTTAAAACCATTAACTTCAGGGAAACATTAATAACAAAATACTTTTATTCAATGATACTCTTAAAAACTTCAGATTGTACATTTGAAAAGAGTTAATGTTTTTAAAGATGACCTGGGAAACCAAACAATAGTGTCCTTTGTTTAACACATTTTATAGTTCATTTTACATCCATTTTTAAAACACAGAAATAAATCTAAGCCTTATTCTAAATGATTTTGTTTATTTTTTTTCCCCTGCTACTCCTCTAAATCTGGCTTAAGGATCTAATGTTTATAATGATAATAGCTGACCTTCATATAGCATAGTTATTTGCATATTGCCTCCCAGTAGACTATGGAACTCCTTCAGAGAAGAGACTTGTATTTTACTTTTCTTTGTGCCTCCTTAGTACACTTAGTACTCAGTATACTTAGTACAGTGCCTGGGACATAGCAGGGTTTAATAAATGTTAACTGACTGACACCATGAGGTTTACAATGCATTTTGCATATACTATCTTGTTTGCTTCTCTTAAGAATTTAACTAAACATCATCATTACAAACATTAATCACCCCGATTTTACAGATATTGAAAAGGAAGTTCAGAGAAGTTAACTGATTTGCCCAAACATATTGCTCAACCAATCAATCAACAAGCATTTATTAAGTACTTAACTGTGCTGAGCATTATGCTATGTGCTGGAGATCTTCACTTTAGCCTATAAGTTAAACAGCTAAGTCTTGAGTATAAGTATAATTGTTTCCACATCATAGATGAAGAAACTGAGATTCAGAGAAGGCAAATAACTTGTCTTGAGCACATGAGTATTAAGTGGCTGAGCTGGCCTTTAAGCTCACATCTTTCATGTTCAAGTCCAATGCTTTTTCTTTACCATACAGGCTCTTATGATAGGTGCTGCTTAGGTACTAAGTTGACAGTCCCAAAGACTAATGTCTGTCCCAACATAACCCCTGAACCCAACAAAGTAAAGCAGTCACTTCCCAACAGTTCCACGTCAATCTACCTACATAAGTTCATGACACAGTTTTAACCTTAGAAATTGTTTCTGCTAGGTACTTAAATTTGGAAATAACCATGAAGAAGCTAGGAGAAGCATTAGAGAATCTTGGAGTGAACCTTGACAAGAAATTAATTCTTGCTTGTTCAGACATGTCAAAAATGATATCTTAATCCTGACTCTCTTCATTATTCAACACCTAAGTTCCAATTCCTAGTCCCAGAAGTCATATTTCCCCAGACACCCTCTCCAGGGTAATGGAGCCCATAGCATTTGGGTATGTAAGATGCAAGGAAAATGGCTCCAGGGCTTAGTTTTCAAAAGCTAGCCTCTCTTTTCCTATGTGTGATTGATCTGCACACAGAGGCAATGACTTACAGAATTTCACATTCAATCCAACTACATCCGCAATTTGCTAATGGTTAGCCCAATTGTCCACTTAGCTTACATCTGGAAAGTCCACACAGCCAATTTGGTGTGCATTTCAATTACCAATGAAATCTACCACATGCCCTCGACATCAACTGTAATTTCCTATGAGCAGATGAGCAACACACAATTCAAGGAGTGGAACAGGAAACCCACTTGAGACCCTTTGAAATTTGGCTCTAGAGACAGTAAGATGACTTACAGATGAGGGGAGCAAGAAGGATTGCCACTTCTCAAGGACAAAGCATCAGCAAGAGAGTTTGCCACTTATGTGGCAAACGTGGTCCAGTGCTACATCTGATTTCTTCTAAGCTCCTCTCCACTCAGCATTTGGATAAGGGAAGAAAGAAAATACTTTTCCTAATATTATGGATAAGCTGTCAACATGTAGCACCAATATTATATGGCATGATGATTCAATTCCAACCTTAAACATCTACTAGTTGTGTGACCCTGAGAAAGTCATTTTCCTTCTCTGAGATTCAGAATTTCTTTACCTATAAAATGAAGAGAGGCCTTGGTGGCCTCTAAAGTCCCTTCCAGCTCTAAATCTGACCCTAAGATTTAAAGCTAGAAAGGACCTTAAAGGCCACTGTATCCCATCTTCTTCATTTTCAAGATGAGAAAACTGAGGCCAAGAGAGGTTAAGTGACTTGCCCATGGTCAGTCACCCAGCTAATGTCTGAGGTATGTCTTCCTGGTTCCAAGTCAAAGTGCCCTATAAACTACTCATTAATTTCTTTGTTGTTGTTGTTCAGTCATTCAGGCATGAATGACTCTTTATGACTCCATGGACCATACCATGCCAGTCCTTTGTATCTTTCACTACCTCTCAAAGTCTGTCCAAGTTCATGTTTGTTGTTTCCATGACACTATCTCTCCATCTCATCCTCTGTCATCCCCTTTTCCTTTTGCCTTTAGTCTTTCCCAGCATCAGGGTCTTTTCAAATGAGTCCTGTTTTCTCATTATGTGGCCAAAATATTTAAGCTTCAGCTTTAGTCTTTGATCTTCCAATGAATAGCATAAATTAATTTCTTTAAGTATTGACTGATTTGATTTCCTTGCTGTTCAAGGGACTCCCAAAAATCTTCTCTAGCACCACAATTTTAAAGCACTGATTCTGTGGCATTCAGCTTTCCTTATAATCCAACTCTCACAGCCATACACCACTACTGGAAAAATCATAGTTTTCACTACATGGTCCTTTGTCAGCAAGGTGATGTCTCTGTTTTTTAGTATTTGCCATAGCTTTCTTTCCAAGGAGCAAGTGTCTTTTAATTTCATGGCCATAGTCACTGTCTGTGGTGATCTCTGAGCTCAAGAATATAAAATCTGAAACTGCTTCCATTTCTTTTCCGTCTATTTGCCAGGAGGTAATGGGACTAGTTGCCAAGATCTTAGCTTTTTTTTATGTTAAGCTTCAAGCCAGCTTTTACATTCTCCTCTTTCACCCTCATCAAAAAGCTTCTTAAATTCCTCATCACTTTCTGCCATCAGAGTGGTATCATCCACATCTGAATTTGTTGATATTTTTCCCAGCAACCTTAATTTCATCTTTTGATTCATCCAGACATTTTGCATGATCTACTCCGCATGTATGTTAAATAGATAAGGTGACCATATACAGCCTTGCTGTACTTCTTTTCTAATCTTAACCCAATTAGTTCTTCCGTGTTAGGTTCTAACTGGTGCTTCTTGGCGCACATGCAGGTTCCTCAGGGGACAAGTAAAATGATCTGGTACTCCCATCTCTTTGAAGACCTGACACATTTTGTTGTGATTCACACAGTTAAAGGTTTCAATGAAGCAGAAATAGACGTTTCTTCCTGGAACTCCCTTGCTTTCTCCATAATCCAATGAATGTTGGCAATTTGGTCTCTAGTTCCTCTGCCTCTTTAAAAATCAGCCTGCTCTTCTGGTAATTCTTGGTTCACATATTGCTGAAGCCTAGCTTGCAGAACCTTAAGCATAACTTTGCAGGCATATGGAATGAGCACAATTGTCTGGTAATTTGAACATTCCCTGGCACTGCACTTCTTTAAGACTGGGACATAAACGTATCTTTTCCAATTCAGTGGCCTCTGTTGGGTTTTCCAATTTTTCTGGCATACTGAGTACTGCACTTTAACAGCATCATCTTTTAGAATTTTAAATAGCTCACTGGAATTCCATCATCTCCACTAAACTTATTGTTAGCAATGCTTCCTAAGGCCCATTTGACTTCATTCTCCAGGATGTCTGGCTCTAAATTAGTAACCACACTAACATGATTATTAGTGATGTTAACATCTTTCTTCTACAGTTCTTCTGTATATTCTTGCCAATTCTTAATCTCTTCTGCGTGTATTCTCTCTCATTTTTGTCTTTTACTATGCCCATTTTTGCATGAAACATTCCCTTAATATCTCTAATTTTCTTGAAGATATCTTTTGTCTTTTCCATTCTATTGTTTCCCTCTATTTCTTTGCATTGCTCATTTAAGAAAACTTTCTTATCTCTCCTTGCTATTCTCTGGAATTCTGCATTCAGTTGGGCACATCTTTCCCTTTCGCTTTCCTTCTTTCCTAAACTATTTGAAAAGCCTCATCAGATAGTCATTTTTCTTTGTTGCTCTTCTTTTTCTTTGGGTTATTTTTTTGTGCTGTCTCCTGTACAAACCTCTAAATCCACACCCTACTTCTGTGAGGGTCATAAGATTGATTTTTACCATGGATAAAAATGGGAGACAGAGGTCTGAGATATGGTATGGTGTTTCGGAAAGAACAGCAGATTTGCAATCAGAGGACCTAGGTTCTAATAATTCCAACTCTGATTCGTAGTAGCTCTGCATGGGACCTTAGGCAAGTCACTTAAATTATCTGAGCATGTTTCCTTAACTTTAGAGTTGGGTAGTAGAAAAGGAAGACTTTTAAATTTCTGTCCAGCTCTCAATCCATGAAACAATGAATCACATTCCTTGTTTAAACCATGAAGGGAGTCACTGAGGAGGCTGATACCAGGACTCTCAAGGCAGTCTTCAACTTCAACCTCTCCCACACTGATTTTTAAATGCTAATAAATAGAAAATAGCCAAATCTTCTTGTTTAGTTAGGAAAGAGCACTGCAACTGGCTCCTGTTCCCTGTCTCCTCTCTAAAAATCCTTCAGCAAGTACTTATAGGCAGTTAAGTGATAGGGTGTACAGAGCACTGGACCTAGAGTCAGGAAGACCCGAGTTCAAATTTGCCCCCAATTACTTACTACCTGTGTGACCCTGGGCAAGGCATTAACCTCTATTTGCCTCATTTTCCTCAACTTCCTACTTGGCAGAGTTATTGTGAAGATCAAATGAGATAATATTTGTAAAGTGCTTATCACTGTGCCTGGCGCATAGTAAGCACTATACAAATGCATATTTTCTCCCTCCCCTATCTAGCAAGCAAAGACCTTTGCTATACAGTCATACAAAAAAAGTTTAAGATATGATCCCAATTACATAGCAGCTTACTAGTCAGTCACTAAATCAAAAATCTGGATTCTAAAACTGAGTATAAAATGAAGATGAAGAATTAATATCCTTCCCAAGGATCCAATAATGCCTTGACTTTGGTGCTTTCTCTCTTCTGTCAAAACTCTTTTAGGCGCTTTCTCCCCTACTCCCTTACCACCACACATAGAATGATGTCACCAGGAATTCCAATAATTGAGATGACTTGTATTTCACCAAAGACTCTGAACTCCTATCTGACTACTCTTGATTCCTTAAGAAGTCTTAACTCCTACTCATTAGGCTAAAGTGATACTTCAATGGAACCAAGAGTTTGCTAGCAGGGGACCTGACCCCTCCATCAGTGCAGAATTTAACTCCATCCACTATCTCATGATATCTGATTTTTCCATAGAGAGGATCTACTCAAGAAACTGGAGGTCTTTCCCTGGGTCTTTGAATGTTTTATGGACACCAGAGCAACACTACAGATACATTTCTTTTCTTATCCTTCACTCCCCCATGACTGGATAACCTCCTTCTCTGATAAGACATATCTTTGATGAAATATTTTGTGTGGTAAAAATGTTGTTAGGATATGATACATTTTTTTAAAAGAAGAAGAAATAGACTATTTAAAAAACTCAGTATCGGAAAAGGTTAACTACAAACCTTCAAAGAGCACTGCAGATGCCTCTCAAGCATAAATTGTGCCTGTGAAGGACTTCTACAGAGAAATTCTACTCCCTCTTCCGTGTCAACCCCACCCCCAAAACCAGCCAACAACAATTCATGAAAGCTGCCTACAAATCATATTGGAAAAAGAAATCAATGGAGTTCTGTTTAAACCCATTCCATAGTGACTGGGAATCCTACCCCTTCCATTCTACAGGAAATTCTACATTCTAGGGATATTCGGGAGACTCAAGTATGACAAGGCAGTGAGATAGTTTTGAAAGGGAAGGAATTAGGGAGAAGAGCCAGGTTGAGCTCAGATAATGTTTGGAAGTGGAGGGAAGATTATTATAGTGGAAAGCTGGTGAGGAATGCAAGAGAACAAGTGGGATTTAGTTCCAATACTTTGTCTACCAAGTGCAAAATCCTACTTGTGCTTCTGGTAGCATTACACAAAAAATATGTGGCATCAGAGTAGTTGGGATCGGTAGTTGCTCCCTGTTATGGGATGGGAGCAACAATCCTGCATGAAATCTGCACTACAGTTTGCCAAGAGTTTACAAAGTGTATTACCTTTGCAGCTAGTCGACACTCCATCACCCGAGTATTGAAATTAGAAGTCGCTGCCTTATTCATTGCAACACAACTGTTAGCAATCACAAAACTTGCTTCACTTGGAAGTTGGACATCAGTTGCCCTCAGAGGATTGAACTCTATTAACTTGGCCTTTTGAAAGAAAAAATGACAGATTAAAACCTAGAAATGGTTCAGGCACACAATCAGTACAAAAGAGATTCTTTCAAAGTCTTCTCTCAACCTGGCAGACTACCCAGGCTGGACAAAACAAATGACCCAGCTATATGTCATTCAGAAGCACTGTCTTCAAACCTGCCACTTAAGTCTTCTTGCTGCATAGCTCAAGCAATGTCTTTGTGCTGAAGAAAATCCCCTCCTCTTCTATGCCTGGGGCTTTGGAAATCTGAATTCAAGCAACATATTTCAACAACATATATTAAATAAGAAATAATCCAGGTGTTCTTGAAGAATAGCCAAATCAGTAGGAAGTTGATGCAGTACTGAAAATTATAAAGGTTTTGAAGAAATATGTGCATCTATTTTGAAAGTAGGCAGTTTCTGGACAGCAACCAAAAAGTTCTACTCTGTCTGAGGGAGCTGATAGCCAAAGGGAAGTGGCAACCAGCATAGGAATCTACTTCTGGCCGACTGTCAACATTTTCTTCCCCACAGCCCAGGTCCTAAAATGTTTATAGAGAGAAATATTACTAAAGAATAAATTATAGGAAGAGAGGTTATGAATACATGTGGCAAAGGAACTAACATTTGGGTTTAAAAACCAACAAGGGAATTTGGAAAGAACATGAGATGGAGAGGTTTAGGGAGCCATTTCAGACAACACAGAGAATTGAGAAATCTCTTACACAAACTAGACAATGAAGGAAAATGGGTATAAAAGAAAAAGAGAAAAGACCAACTGGCAAAGTGAACTGAAATAAAATCATGAGAGTATGAGAGACAGAAAGAAAACAGTGAAATAGATAAAAAATTTAAGAGGTAAACCAGTCATACTGGAAGATAAGGATCGAGGATGAACTTGAATGTTGGAATGGTGTTGGGAAATATTTAGGGAAGCCTGAAAGAACAGATCTGATTGGACTTGTAGGTGACTAAACATCTTGGATATATCAATGCCTTATTCTCTATGTGGTTTCTCACAGTTGGTACTTCCAAACAGGTTACTGTCACCTACCTTTCCTTCCTCTCCAAGAAATGATATGGACTGATCCATACCTCCTCCTTCAGTGCCAATATAACGCTCACTCTTGGTACAGATTTCTGCCAATTCTATCTGGGGATAAAAATGAGTTTATATTGCAAATAAGAAATACACTGCTTCCCTTATGTATCAGAATTTCTCACAATGTTCTATGGAACCCTGGGATTCCACAGAATAATTGAAAGGGCTCTGCAAAGAAAAAGCTGTAACATCAGTAAAGTGTACACCCCAAATACATCTATTTTGTTCTCTGTGTCAATTGTGCAACATTGTGTATATGTATCTAGAAAACCATTAAAAATTGGTCTAAACTAATCACATGACCAAAAAGTTGGTTTCTTAAGGGTCCAGAATCAATTACTGAATGTGCCAAATGATGTATTACACAAAATGAGTACAATGTAGTACTTTTCTTGCAGTGTATGTATAAAATAATCAATGTCCATTTATATCCTTAGTTTTGTGAAGGTTCTATGATTTTTCTACCAATGTCTAATTTGGATGAAATGTAGAAGACGAAAAGACAAAAAATCTAAAATGTTATTAATCAAGGATCTGACAATGAAACAAGATATTAATAAACTTCATTTGCATACTAAGCACTAAAATAATTAATGTAATAAAATAAATAATACACATTTAATAAATGTATATTGAATTGAACTGAATTGAAAAAACAAAAGAATGAAAAGTATGATCTGCAATTTGGCTTGACTTAATAATGGTTTTATTTTACATTATATGGGATATTACTTTATACTTTAAAGATTCTTGATTTTAATCCATGTGGATACTTTCTTTACTAAAAGATATCATGATACTTCTACAACTTATTAGAGCAAGAATTTTTAACCTAGGGTCCATGAATTTTCTTAAAATTTTACAACTGTATTTCAATATAATTGATTTTTTTGATAACCCTATGTATATTATTTTATTCATTCAAAACCATTATCCTGAAGAATCCATAGTACTCACCAGACCATCAAAGGGGTCCATGAATTCAAAACAGGTTAAGAATCCCTGCATTTTGAGTCTTTGAGGATGGCTGCACCTAAAACATTCCTACTCGCAGAGTGAATCCAATGATGAAGCCTCTCCAAACTTAGCTAGGCTGGTACAACAGATACATCGAACAACCACTAGGCCCACAAATGGAACTGTTTTAGCTTTGTGGGATTTGCTAAAGCACAAACTCCGCTCTCAGAGTCTCCTCAGCACGAGGCTGAGGCAGCAGTGAAGGCTTTCAGTAGAAGTTATTCCAACTTAAAAAAAAAAAAGTTCTTTGGTTCCAACAAAATTACAAAGATATTTACAAGCACAATATAAGAAATATCCAAAGAAAATCCTGATTTTTTTTCCAAGCAACAATGAGATGAACTAAAAAAAAAAATGCAAAAAAATCCACTCATTTAAGTAAAGAACAAAAAATTGGTATGAAGCACTTCTCAAGATAAGCAATACATACAATACTGTGTCCAATTGTAAATTTGTAAATAAGTTTTTACTAAAAGTTCAGCAAACACCCACTTCAGACCCCATCTCCAATGCACAAGACTTAAAAATGTTATCCTCTTTGTATCTCTTATTTCACCATAACTTGTTAATATTTGTAAATTAACCTCATAATATCTAGCCTTCTACAACACTTAAAAAACAATTAACAGGGGGCAGCTAAATGGTGAAGTGGATACCAAATCTGGCCTTAGACACTTGAGACTTACTGGCTGTGTGACCCTGGGCAAGTCACTTCACCCCATTGCCTTGCCAAAAAAAAAAAAAACAAAAAAACCCAAACCCAAAAATTAATAAAAGAGATTTTAACCAATATCACACATCCTTATTTTTGTTATAAGAATTAGGTAACCTTTCACTCCAGATACACATTAGGTTTCAGGTCTTCTGTCTAATACGAGGTATACACCACAACCATTATTGTTCATTTTAAAGTAAACAACATGCTATGCATAGTATCAGTACAATTTTTCTTCCTCCTTTTTCTTTCCTCCTGAATACCCAACTGGTCACTGCACTGATTCTAGTTCTGATCAAATTGAGAAATAGATAAAAACTTTCTTAACTTTTAAGGACTGATGCAGAATGAATCCTTCATACAAGATGATGGCATGGTAGGGGTGACCAAGTCAGAAGCTTGACAGATGCTACCCATGACTATGCCAACATATTCACATCAGATAAAATGTCAAGGAATGGAGAATAAAGAAATGAGAAGGAAGGAAGTTAAAGCAAACCCAATAAAAAGACCAAAGCTTTGTGAAAGAGGGAAGATTCATAGTCAGATTCCTGGCCCTCCATCCATTTGTATTTACTGATCTAGTATAGATATCTCAGAGCTTAATTCCTGTTCAGCCAAACAGCCTTCAATCTTGTTTTAATACCTCAGGTGTCATACCTGATGGACACCTTGGTACTGGTTTTTCTTTGTTGTTTTCATCACTCTCTTCCCAATCTTAACTCTGCTTCCTTGGTCTTTGGTGGAGACTGCTCTTCCTACCATCTTAACTACTGAGATTAGATAGACGATAGATAGATAGATAGATAGATAGATAGATAGATAGATAGATAGCCAGCCCTCCCTTGCTTCAGGTGGTATATAACATTAGATGAATTGGTTTAACTTCTGTGAAACCCAGTTTCTCTTTGTAAGGCAAGAATGGTCAAGAACTTATGACCACAAATGAGATAAAAGGGAGCTAGGTGGAGCAGTGGATAGAGCACTGGCCTGGGAGTCAGGAAGACTTAAGTTCAGATCCAACCTCACACACTTATTAGTTGTGTGATCATAGGAAAGATCTCTCATCCTCACTTCCTTCATCAGCAAAATGGGAATAGTAATAGCTCCTATCTCTCAGGTTGTTGTCAGGATGACTGCTATGAAGGTCATTTGGAGTTCTCAAAAAGAAAGCTCTACACAAGTCCTGGAGTTATGATTACTAATTACAAAATGGACTTTGATAAATGGCAATAATGGTGTAATTATGAATACCTACACTACCTCTACTTTTATATCTTTAGGTGCCTAAGAGTTTCTGGAATATCAATAACTAAATTGTCAGCATACTTAAGTGATACACATTTGAAAGCCTTGCTCCAGCACTCCAAAATGCCACTAATATGGGTATGTCTTCCAACAGTGTAAATCGATCACCATCTATTCATTCTGCCTAATTCTTTCCCACATCCTTCCCATAACTTTGCCATAGGGAAGGCACGCCTAATGTGTTGAGGCTTTCTTTCCAAATCTCAAAGATGCCTATGAAGTATACTGTGCATCACCTATCCTTAATTCTTGCCAAATGACCAGCCCAGCTTCTTTTTTGATCATACGTTTCTTTGAAGGTATAACTTATACCAATTTTTCTTCAAAATTACTCATTTAGTTTGTTACAATCTATTCATGCCCAATGTACATCTGTTTTCCTGAGGATGATCTTAAATTCAAATACTTAAAACTATCATATTCCATGATTCACCACCAAATAAAATCACCCAAATAATATTGTTATATAATAATAAATAATAATAATAAAGCACCTACTTCCTGATGGTCATCCTGCTAAGCACTTTCCAGGACCAGTGTCTATCTACTGTGCCACTTTGTTGCCATAGATGAGTCCCAAAAGCCATTCCCCATTAGATAAACAATCAAAGGATATGAACAAATACTTTTCAGAAGAAATACTGCAAACTATTAACAACCATATGAAAACTTTAAAGCAATACGCAAATTAAACAACTCTGAGGGTTTTACACCAAGCAAGATGGAAAAGATAACAAAAGAAGAGAAGTTAATATTGAAGGGGCTATAGAAAGAGAAATACAATAATGAACTATTAGTGGAACTATAAATTGATCCAACCATTCTGGAAGGCAAATGGGAATCAGGCAAAGAAAGTGACTAAAATGTCTATACCGTTTGACCTAAAGGTCCCACCCATTAGCCAAGGAGGTCAATGATAAAAAGAAAGCCCCCATATACCAAAACATTTTATTAATTTTTTTTTTTTAATAAAAAGGACAACCTTCACTTGAGGCCATGGAATCTGAGCTATATGTGATACCAGACTTTTTCAATGAGTTGGTTGGTTTTGCTGTACTATTTTTTTCCATTATAAGATATGGCTCTCTGGGAGGCAGAAAGAATATATTGGAAAATACATGTAATATAAAAAAATCCAAAACATTTGTTTTAAAAAAAAAAAAGGTCTTAAGTCTTTTGGTTGTCATTTTTGTTTCAGCATATGGTCATTAAAAGAATAATGTGATCCCACCTATGATTTCACATATAGGCAATGCAGACTAATCTCTCCAATTCTGGGCTGAACTTGCTGTCCATTTGAATACCTATCAAAGTTATATGCACCAAGGGTCAAGTTCCATAGGTTGTACATACAACTCTATCAGAGCCTGGTAACAGGCATTCTTTATCTACTTGCTTTTCTTGCCCTCACTCTTTCCGCCCTCACATGGATAGTTAGATGAATGCTCTGGAGTGATTATGAATCTTATTTAAAAGGCTATACAATTTTCCAGAGCTATTACAGTCAGCATGTCATCCCCAAACAGGAACCTCTGAGGACCTCATGATTTATGAGGATTCTGCTGACTTCAAGGCTGCATTGCATTTCCTCTGATAGTTACAAACACCTTTGGTAAATCTCCCCCCCACCCCACCCACCTGTTTTATGCCTTGTCTGATATTAAAAACTGGAGGATCATTGAACAAGTTTATCTCAGTTACATCTCTAAAAGATCTTGCATAATTTTGGAATACACATGGGCGACACCTTGTGGCAAACTTGCCTTTGAGACAGTTTTGTTTAACTAAGCCAAATTTTTATTCCCTCAATAGTCAAGAAACAGTAACTAAAGTAGGATCTTACATTCTTTATGTTTCACTTAACGGTGTGATAGTGTAAATGTCTACTACTGAATATTACTTTTGAAAGCCTTGCTGTTCTTATCGAATACCTTTATCAAGGGTGTACTTTCTATGCAAGTTTAAGTTATTTTCATAAAAAAATTCATATAGGCTCTGATTCTTAGAATCT